AATCAAACAGCAAGACCAACTACGCAAGAGACTCCTCGTAAGAGATATACTTCAACTTTATACAGATGCTGCATGGCTGTCATCAGCTCGTGCCGTGAGATGTTCGATTAAACCACCAGTACTTGGCCCATACATCGGCCACGGGTGTTTCCCGTTAACGCGCCAAGATTTATGGGCTTCGGCCTACCAGACCACAATGGCTGGAGGCGTAAGCCAAAAGAAAGACGAAACGACGCCGCAGCTGCTCGGCAGAACTTGGCACGCAGGGCGTTTCCCAGCTCAGCATCAATAGCTTCATACACGTGCAGCATGGCTGTCATCAGCTCGTGCTGTGAGATGTTCCATTAAACCACCAGTACTTGGCCCATACATCGGCCGCAGGCGTTTCCCGTTAACGCGCCGAGATTTATGGGCTTCGACCTACCAGACCACAATGGCTGGAGGCGCAAGCCAAAAGAAAGACGAAACGACGTGGCGGTTGCTCGGCAAAACTTGGCACGCAGGGCATTTCCCAGCTCGGCATCAATAGCTGGGCCAAGTCTTACAAGTCCTATAACGAGCGCACCCCTCGTTTTCTGTTGTAAAGACATCGCAACGATATGCTGCACTCACAAAAAACTGCCCGTGATATACTGGAGGAAGGTGGGGATGACGTTAACTCCAATGGCCCTCACGGGCTGGCACTCACAAAAAACTGCCAGTGATATACTGTAGGAAGGTGGTGACGACGTGAAGTCTGCATGGCCCTCGTCGGCTGGGCTACACGCGTGCTACAATGGCAATGACAATAGGAAGCAAGGCTTTCACGCGGAGCGAATCCTGAAAAATTGCCTCAGTTCGGATTGTCCTCTGCAACTCGAGAACATGTCAGTTCGAATCGCTAGTACTCACGGATCAGCATGCCGCGGCGAATATGTACACAGGCCTTTTACACACCGGCCGTCACACCATGGGAATTTATTTTGCCCGAAATCGTCTTTATGATAAGCCAACGACTCTGATACGTTACGCACGTCAAGTGCGCAGCATGTCTTTCACCTCGCTGACCCTAGAGACTATCACAGTAGGAGACTGTCAATGATAGGAGAGCTCATCGATGGACAACTGTCAATGAGACGGAGACTGATGAGATTAGACTATACCTCCATTGCTTCTTGCCCTCTTCGACCGGGCCTCATAAAGCATTGTGCAAAGTACGAAATTGGGAAAACACAAACTGGTTAGTGAAGGGCGAAAAGCTCAGTTGTATAAGCGCCGCCTTGTTATCAGGAATTCAAGATCAACAGTTTTTGGAATAAACCACCAGCACTTGGCCCGGCTATTGGCCGCGGAAAATAATAGAGTAGCAAAGTTTCTCTTCAGATGAACGTGGGTGCTCCGGTAGTGGCCAACGTTTGCTAAAATTGTGGCTCGTTATCGGGCACGATTTTTGCAAGTACAAATGGTTTAATAGCATTTTTCATCAAACGAGATGCCGAAATATAATGTTCAATCATTCTCTGCCTGAATTAGACATTCATTCAATTGAATGAGGTATGCAAAGCTTCTCACATTCTCTCAGTGATGAGATCGAAAGAACCATCTCCATGGCTTCCTTTCCTGGTTCACTATGTTCAAAAACATCAGGCGCAAGGCTCCCTACTCTCTAGACTATCTTTGTGGCCTCCTGCTTTCTAAAATCGGAAGGGTCCGCTTCCACCAGACACACACAACACGAGCACAACAGACTTGCTCTAATGCATCTCCTCTTCGTCGAAGGACGCGGTGCGCATCGCTTTCGGTTCATCATGTTGAGTAGCGAGGGCTGTCAACAGGGGGGGTTGCGGAGTGTCCTAGGCCCCCGACAAACCCACATTCCTCCATCCTCAAGAGCTTACCGTCTAGACAGGATGCTTATTCACAAACAAGCCTATTCCTCTCAAACAGGTTGCACTGTCTTTCCAAGAAACTGCGGTCTCCCCCAAACACATCGCACCCTTGTTATGACTGTATTGGGCTGGAAAAATAGCTTCTCCACATTCATGACGAGAGTGCGTACCATCTATACATTCATGACAGGGGTGCGTTATGTTCGGGGGACAACAGTAGCACTCCTCAACAGTACGCAATAGGGTTCTGATGCGGTCCACCCCCCCACCAACAAGGTTAGCTCCAGTCGGTACACCCGTGAACTGCTGAAATACAGACCCAAGATTGAATCCTGATGGACCAACATGAACGGAATGAACCTCGGGCCGGTCACTTCGATGATGATACCTAACAGGGCCGTCGCCCTTTCTTAAAGAAAGGGTTCTGATTGGTCCCCCATAAGTGTCGGGCTTTTCAATAGCTCTGTCAGCTCCACCAACCCCCCACTTGTCTACAATAGACGGGCTCCTACTCCTACACTCCTCGCATTAGTTGCCAAACTAGGAAACAAAAGGGTTTCAAGAATCCGACAAACAGAGGAGAGACAAAAAGCTGACGCAGCTGAGCAGTTGTATGGCGGTGAAAAGATATAAACTATTATAAAGTTTATAATAAACCAACGCTGAGCACGTACCTGAGATGTCTGTCTATGACACTTTTTTACGACTTAGGGTTTCCCCACGCAGCACATGAAATGAAAAATGAAACGAGTGCATCTTCCCACAGAAAATGGACAGGGCTATGGCGAGAGAGAGGAGGGAGGATTTTGGCGGGAGGAAGGAGGGAGGACTATGGCAGGAGAGAGGAGGGAGGACTTTGGTGTGAGGAAGGAGGGAGGACTATGGCGGGAGGAGGGAGGGAGGAGGGGGGACTATGGCAGGAGGTAGGAGGAGGTAGGAGGAGGTAGGAGGAGGTAGGAGGAGGTAGGAGGAGGTAGGAGGAGGTAGGGGCAGAGGCGGCAACAAGAAAGAAGCAGAAGCAGACGCAGAAGAAGAAGAAGAAGAAGAAGAAGAAGAAGAAGAAGAAGAAGAAGAAGAAGAAGAGGAAGAAGAAGTAGAGAAGACGAGGCGGCAACAAAAAAGAGAAGAAGAAAAACAAGAGCCGATGAAGAATAAGAACCAAATAGAAGAAGAAACAACAACAAAAAAAAGAAAAGAAGACAAAGAAACAACGAAGAAGGAAAAGAACATGACGAAATGGAGGAGAAGAAGGAGAGGAAGAAGAATGACACAAAACGAAGAAGAACAAACAAAGATGTAGTAGAGATGAAGAAGACAAAAAGAAGAAGAAGAAGAAACAAACTTACCTAAGTAGGCGATGGCGGCGCAGGAAGTCTTCATCAGGGGCGAGGAGGATGGCACTGCTGGGACGATGGTGGCGTGCCGGAAGGCAGCAGGGTGATGACGATGGCGCCTCAGCAGGGCGATGATAACGATGGCACGGACGATCACGGCAGGGCAACAACGAGCGGGAAATCACGGCAGGGCAACAACGAGCGGGAAACAACGAACTGGCACGGGGGGTAGGGCGGAGGGCGCAGGGGGCCGCTGCAAGTCCCAAGATTCGAATTCGAAATCTTGGGACTTCCCGCGCCATCGATCAACGCAGATCGACGGCCCAGGTCCCAAAAAAAAAAAAACTACGAAGTAGGGCCTACCGGACCCCAAAAAAAATTGGGGCAGCCGCCATTTTTTTTTTTTCCCTCTGGGCCTCCAGCCCGTAGCACCAAAAAAAAAATTCAGAGGGATTTGGGGGCCGGCGCTGTGGGGGCCCGGGGCCTGGCCGGGGGGGTCGCACGGCCGGGCGCCCCGAGCGCCCTTACGGGCGACATGGGGTGGTCCAGGCGCCCGGGCTGGAAAGCTAGCAACGAATTATTTTTCGAAGGCAGATGCACTCGGCAGAGTCGTTTGTGTTTCACATGCCGTCTGGAGAGGCCCTTAGCCCAAGGTACGGTGGCTCTGCGCAAACAATACACAGCACAGACTACGAAGATCACAATGTCAAAACACAAACCAGACAAAACACACCTGTTGTCCAGGAGCAGGATGGGCACTTGCCCTACGTTTAGTTCATCATACATCTTGCAAAGAGAATAGGATTGTCGAATTCGTTGGCATTTTAATTCCAGAATCCGCATCCGATACCACCGTGTCCCACTGTCCCCTCGCCCTTCTGAATCTCCTTGGGACGGTTAGCAGTGCGTCACCCGAAGCATACGCTGCTTCTCATTCTCCAACAGCTGCCTGTATGACCTCTCCGAGTTTCCTCTCAAGAGGACTCAGCAGGCTCAAGAGGACCATCATCTTCTTTCTTTTATGTTTTTTTAAGGATCATCATCATTACTATCCATCATCATTAGTGCATCTCATATTCTTGCACGCACACATCCACAGTCGCTCTTCCAAGGACCAAGCGAAACACATGACAGTGCAAGCTGGAACTCAAATCACCAGTGCCATCTGCGCATGATAACAGAGCTACCGTCTTCACCCGAATAGAACGCCCGGTCATTATAGACGTATCTGGACTGAAAATTGCACCAGATACGGCTATAATGACCGGGCATTCTATTCGGGTGAAGACGGTAGTATATAGGCCTACAACACCTGCCTTGAGTCCTCTCTACTTCTCCAAGCACACAATCAACATCCACATGAACACAGAATTTCAGATCGACATCACGAAGAAAAACATGGGACCAGCTCAACAGTCAACCACCCACATCATGTGCACACAATATCATCGTTGTCGCCATGGCTATGGGGTCAACACAGTGTGGATATACCAGGCTGTGGATATACAGTGAGTCCTCTGATGCCCAGGCGTGAAATGCCCCATCTCCTCTACAGTCAAGTCGACGCCTCCACCACTTAGCAAAACTTCACTCACCAGGTTTTTGCGAAACTTCAATCACCAGCAAAACTCTCAACTGTTGACAGTAAACCGACACGCCTTGGGAACAAAAAAAAAAAAGAAAAAAAAAAAGCACTCTTCTGACATCTTATTCTTGTACTGTTCAATGCATTCGACGAATGCTTGCGAAAAGAATTCGTGCATCGCAAGCGGATCTGAGCGCATACTCAACACTCGCACTTTTCTAATTGTACCTGACCACAATTACAGCCGTGCCTGGACGAATCTGACCACAATCACGTCCAGAGGTGAGTCGAAAAAGTCTTCCTTGTGGCTGCTTTGTCAAAAAGCTACATCTACCAACGGGCCTAGCTCAGCTGTTGCGCCCAAGAACTGTTGAAATACAAACCCAAGTTCGCGTCCAGCTGGCAATGAAATACAAACCCGAGTTCAAGTCCAGCTGCAATCAGATTAACAGAAGCCCTCTTTCAAAAAAAAAAAGGGTGGGTGACCTGCCATCACTCGTACGTTTCTCCCACGTGCCACATGCGGTCTACAGAGAGAGTCATACCATTAAATGTTAAAACCTTTCATCCCCTCGTAAATGGAGTCTCACAATTTGGCTAGGGAACACACAACCAACAAGCCAAACAACAGGTCAAGCACGGATAGTAGCACCTCAATCATTACCCCGTGACAAAAAAAAAAAAGCACCCATTTTGTCAGGCTTCGAAGTTCGAACAGAACTTAAACCACCAGTACAGTACTTCCTAGAGTCGTGCCCGTTAACGCGCCACAATTTTAGCAAACGTACAGGATACTACAGGAGCGCTCAAATTCATCCAACTAGAAACATTTCTACTCCATTTCTACTCTATTTTTTTTCCGCGGCCAATAGCTGGACCCAATACTGGTGGTTTAAGAGGCTGATCGTAAACCGTCTGATAGAAATACGGTCCAGTGCGCAAAGCATGATTCCAGTGGGAACAAGCTTACCTACCAACTGATTACAGCATGCACAGACACGTGTGTGTATGTACCCACGCACCCCCTCCCACCCCCCAAAAAAAACACCCACATACACACAAGTTCCTGATAATCAACGCATGTCATATACATACCCGTGCAGCACCTGCTACTCTCAAATTACCTGCCAAGAAAACACAAACACACAAACACACAAACACAAACACACAAACACACAAGCACCTGCTACTCTCAAATTACTCTCAACTGTTCTGTCACCAGCTGTGCACTTCCAGCAGACTGTCAGTCCAAACCTGGCAAATCATTTTCAATTGAGGTGCAGCTCAGCCGAAGACAGACGCGAAGATAGTACAAAAACTCTGTGCTTGGTGTCAAAACTTCAGCATCGCAGCGCACCACCAATTCATTGGAAAGACGGCAAAAACAAGAACAGAAAAATCGAGTAAAAGACAATCCACTGCTGTACGCTTGCTTGTTTGCTGCTTAAAGAACCAGTACATCCAAACCTCTTTTTGCCATGGTGGATTCACACTGCATGCCAAGCTTTGCGTCACCACCACCAGCACACTTTTTTTTCCTGTTTTGGCTGACAATGCCAGCCATTGTGGTCCGGCCACCCCGAGGCCCCCAAATTTTTGGATTGGCTTCGATTTCCATTCTCAAGCTTGCCCGGAAGATGTACTGGTGGGGTTCAAACCACCGCTACCTTCCCGCCTCTTTTTGCGGAGGTGGATTCCTCCTGCACGCCAAGCATTGCCAAAGCGCCAGCGCAGCTTTTATTTTTCTGGCCATTTGCGTCCGGAAGCGCCTGGCCTCTGAATGTTACATTTCTTATTCTCGAAATCCCCTGGAAAAGGTACTGGCGGTTTAAGCCAACACCACATCAGATGCTATTGCATGCGATATGCAATGTGCCAGGTGCGGAGTTCCCAAGCGCCCAGACATTTGCCCAAAAACTGTGCACGTCCACTCCCCTGCACGCATCTGTTTGTGTACGTCTGTGGCACTCGGTAGATTGTCTGCGATGCACCTCTAAATGTCTCAGGACTCTCGACGAACAAAGGGGAGCGGCCATAGATATGGGCTTCTCGCCCAACATAACGACTGCTTTACGTGTATGTGGTGGAACAGACATCGCTGGCCCATACTTTCCCATGCAGGACAAGACTGCAGCATAGCATTGACGGCGAGCCTTGCTTCACTGCTCAATACTCTACATGCACTTGAACTCATTTTGGACCAGATACGTTCAGGTATTGCGACCATTACCCGCTCCAGGAACATTTACAATGATGTGCAGTGGACCGAGTATAACATAAAAGAGAAAGAGAAAGATCCATCGGGAAGGCACGAGCCACATCCAGGACTCGTATGAAAGCAAATCGAACTCAAAATTTGTAAGAAGACCACGACTGGCGGCCTTCCACCAGGACAACACTCGATCGCGTTCAGGGCTGATCCAACGAGAAGGACGACGACAAACGGTCCATAGCCGGACCACAGCGGCTACGTAGGAGGTCCCAAGTTTGCCATTTGATTGCCGGGTCGGACAACATAACCGACAAATAGAACTGTATGCTCGTGAATGCGTACCACCTAGTCCGCAATACCTGCGAAGAGTATGGGGGGCACCTCATGGAGTATTGCAAGATGCATGGGGTGAAGAAGCGCTGGTGAAGAAGCCGGACGGAAGGGATGGAGGAGATGGAGGAGATGATGGGGATGATGATGGTGACAGCGGAAACGGCAAGGGAGGAAATCAGAAAGGAGCACGAAACGGAGTAGAAGGGAGAGAGAGAAAAAAAAAAAAAAAAAAAAGGTTGACTGGGACCTATAATGGGAAGAAGGACAAGAATACAAGACAGTGGGAGGCGGCAGTCCAACCTACCTGTGGGCGCAGGAGATAGCACGCATAGGTCAGGTGCGAATGGCTGCTTCATATTTGGGGGTGACGCGTCGAATACGAAATTGCGCCGGCCAAAGCGGTGGGGTGTGGGCGAGATATCGTCCACTTCTCACGCATAACTGACATATTGACATCTCCACCTTGTGCGCTCGATTCAAGGATAAGACCCTGGCCCGGCGCACACAAATGAAGATCCTGAATATAGAACACTGTAACTGGAAGAGTGTCGTGGCCTTGAAGGCGCAACACGGATGAGCTGCTCCAAGACCAGGATCGCGGAGCAACCCCCCAGCAGGTATTCGATCATTTTGCACTCGCCCTGCCAGAACCCTTGAGGTCCCAGCTTTACGCTAAGTCGCAGAACGAAGGCCAAACCCACGAAGCTTTCAGCAAGTATGCCAAATATCAGGCCGGCTTTCTGCAGCAAGCTAACTTGCAGAAGCGGAAAAAGTGGAAGTGTAAGGTCATACAAGGCAACATTCAGGGAACCAATAGGCTCCTTGTTACATTTGAGGGAGGGAGAATCGAAGAAATCCCCTACAACCAGATTGATTTCGGGGAACAAATGGAGTATGGTCGGCCGTAGGAGCCTGTGGGGGAGGGCTTGAAGAGGCCAAGGTCGAGGAGGTCATGGCAGAGGAGGCCGGGGACCTGCCGCTCAGGGGATTGGAAGCAATGAGGACTTCCAAGAGGGAGGAAGGGGTTACAGTTCCCCGAAGGGTGGTCGTGGTTCCTCCACCTATCAAGGTGGAAGAGGGGGCAACTATGCCCTTGAAGTGTGGCGTCAGAGTCTCCATAGTACATGAAAATGGAAACAGTCAGTAGTCTTGACAAACTGATGGAGAGCCGTGTGCTTGGAAATCTTGAACGACGAGATCCTTTAAATCCCACTGAACCAGAAGAGGACCAAGATTTGGAAGATATGGCATCTCCAAAAGAATCTGTTATGTCCTTCGAGACATCCGATAAAATTGGAACAATACAGAGAAGATTGGCATGAAAAAAAAAAAAAAAAAAAAAACTGTTATGGTAATTATAGTGTTACGAGGAGGGAGACCCGAGGAAAGCCATGAAGATGCCGGACGTGTTCTGGAGAAAGAGATCAGAGGAGGGGGGGGTTCTTTAAGTGTGGGAATCCTGGCCATATCATTCCCTTCCTTCCAGAACTGAGACAGCCGCCAAAGGGAATGGGCAGTAGGAGTGGCAGCTGCTCCTACTGGGGACTCAGACTTTGATAGATAGAATGAAGCACGGGCTGGGTTGGAAACCTCCTGTCTGATGGCCCCTATGGCAGAGGCTGATGTAGGCCACCACCTAGTTAGTTGTCAAGAGACTGCTTGTGTTAGGGTCTCTCTAGGCGGATCCCTCACAGGAACGAACTGATCACTCACCACCAAGCCTAGGCCAAAATGAACAGGAAGAGCAAAGGGCAGGTAATTCTGAAAGATGTAGAAGTAGGATGTGGAGTAGGAGCCTTGGTCGATAGTGGATCGACCCATAGCTATATCAGTAGAAAAGAGTTAAGTTGCATCTAGGGGAGAAGTTGCATCTGGGGATGAAAGTGCTGAAGTTAGAGGCCCGTAGCGAGGACACTGGCCGATAATAGAGAGATGAGAGAGTAGAGGAATATGTTTAGAGGGTAAAGGCATACTTCCAGTTGGAAGCGGGGGACGAAAATAGAGAAAGTGTTGCACTCCCTGACCCTTCAAATGGATGATAGTCTACCCTTTGACATTTTGCTTAGGATGGACTGTGGAGAAGCCGTGAAGGCCAACGTGGAAACAGGCGAGCACGAGTGCTGGCTACCCAGCCCTGAAGAAAGTGAAGATGGGCAAGCATGAGTGCTGGCTGCCCAGCCCCGGAGGTGGAAAGAAGGCAAATTCCGATTGCTCTATGAGTCCGCCATATCTATTTGTTGCACGAGTGCTGAAGGCAAATTCCGATTGCTCTATGAGTCCGCCATATCTATTTGTTGCACGAGTGCTGGCTATCAGCCCCAAAGGTGGAAAGAAGAAAGTGTGATTGCTCCATGACTCCGGAGTTCAATCTGCTTTGCTGCATAAGTGCCCCTGCATTCGCCCAGCACGTGGTCAGAGAAGGTATTTGACGAAGTATTTGTAACATACGTTAGGCTGGTGAGTGAAGAGAAGGCTGAAGAGGAAGAGACACCACCCTGAATAAGTTCCTTGCTGAAAGAGGATGCAAAGTCGCAAACATAGGAGAAGCCCCAACCGGAGTTGTGGAGAGGGATATCAAGCACCGTATCGAAATTGAGCCCAGTAGCAAGATCCCGAAAGGGCTGTGGTGTGGCTTTGAATGAGCTGGGCGCACTGCGTCAACAATTGGATGATGAATTGATTGAAAAGGAGTGGATCAAGTGGAGTTCATCGCCGTATGGTGCACGTGTTCCGTTCGTGCCAAAGAAGGAAGGCAAATTGCAAATGTGTATAGACTATAGGAGTCTAAACACGATTACTGTTAAAAATGCCCCGCTCCTGCTGCGAATCGATGATCTTCTAGATAGAGTGCAGGGATTCAAGTATTTTTCGAAGATGGACTTGAGATCGGGGTATCGTCAGATAGAGGTACAGCCCGAAGGTCAGCACAAGACGGCATTCTGGATGCGATACGGCCACTACGAGTCCGCTGTCATGCCTTTTCGGCTGACTAATGCCCTGCCACTTTTGAATGATATCTGCACCTCTATAGAGAACGGTTAGATCAGTTCATCTCCGTATACTCCGACGATATTCTGATATTTGGAAAGAGTCTAGACGAGCATCCGGAGCAATCTGCACTTGATTTGAATAGCTTGTGAGAGGCAAAGTTCAGATTGAACACAAAGAAGTTTGAGTGGGCCAAGCGCCAGATTTTGTACTTGAGACACGTGGTCAATGGGGATGGCGTTAAACCGGAGGATGCTAAGATTGCCGCAATTCGAGACTGGCCAGCACCGCATTTTTGACGGAACTGTGATTTTCCTAGGCTTGGCTAACTACTATCGCAAGTTTGTTCACAATTTTCACGTCCATTGCTGCACCTCTACGTAGACTGCTCAGAAAGGAGAGAGTGGCGATGGGACAAAGACTGCACCTCCGAAGAAGTGTCTAATCCACTACCCGGTTCTAAAGATAGTCGATCCGTCTTCGACGTTGATAGTGACAACAGATGCGAGTCAGCATGGCCGACAAGAAAAATCTGCAGTCCCGAAGTCCAATTTTGCAGCAGCACCCTAGGAAAAGCCGCATCGACCGGTATGGGTCCAGAGCCAACATCGATTTACTTCAGCTGCTATTTCCATTTGCTACACTGCTTCATCGGGTCGCGTGTCAACCCGCATGTTGAAGAAGCTCTGCTGTAGCGCTTGTGCAACCAACGAGTTGGGCAGTCGGATTGAGGTTGAGGACAAGGCCATCGGTGCCATAGTTAGGGTAGATAAGGAAGAAGACGGCGGTCATAGATGACATAGGAAGGAAGCCAGTGTATTCAGGAAGTGAGAGCAAGCGGACAAAGACACAGAGAGAGAGAGAGAGAGAGAGGATGAGTGCCTCAAAGAGTACGAGAGAGATAGAGAGAGGGCGAGCGAGGCAAACAAGTAGTATATGCGATAGCGACCATTCACAGCTTGTAATCGAACTCGATTCTTGTATAATAAAGACTGTTTGGGAGGCAGTTTCATCCTCTTGGTGGTGACGTGTCAGTTCCATGCTTGGTGCGAATCTTCTGCGAGTCTTCCATGTTCTGTGAGTTTGATTGACGATCGTTCGCAGTTGGGTTCCTTGCAAGCAGAATCCCGACATCATGCACTTATCACTTACAGTGCACCAGATACAATCATACACCGACGAGGAAGGGAACATCCTTGGTGAAGGCCACAAAATGTCAATTCACAGTGCGAAACCAACATAATCAGACTCTCAAACAGGAGGGCATATAGAACCGGATACGGTCATTCCACACAGGCTAAGCTAAGCATCACAGAGCATATCAGCCTATCCTACTAACCAGAGAGAACAGCATCAAAGAGTACATACTATATAGGCCTTGTCCACGACACAACCGGCACTTTTGAGACTGACGAAAGCAACAACAACAGAGGAAGAAAACCAAAACAACATACATATGAAAGGTCCACAACACTTCCCATATTCAAAGCCCAAAAACGAGCCCCCTCACTGCATGAAACTCACGAAAATGCACGAGCGACACAAACAACTCATCATCAAATCAATCCCCACCTTGAAATGATACATGACAGTTATGGGTGCTGCTGCAGTTCCAAACGGACGTTGAACTCAGCTCTAGACACTCGAGGAACATCCGAGGCGCCCGCATTATCCCTGCAGTCAATTCATTTGCCGGCAAACAACCAAGCGCAAGTTCGAGCTGCCGCAACAACTTGAACCAACAAACCCACCCCAACACCAGCAATTACCAACAACAGTGATTTCGTACTGACAAAGATCTCTGCATTGACATCAGCTCACCAAGCACAATACCATTGCCAGCCCAAAGCAGGGGACTCAGACTCCATAACGAGCAGCATCAGTCGCTGCGCCTCAATAAGGACCTTGTTTTGCATTCATAGCACGTACCAACTCGCACATACAGACATCATTATGTAACAGTATTCACCAAAGGCTCAATCACACAAGCTCCCAAAACAGGCTTGTTTTTACACCCGTGAACATCTCATAAACCCTAGCAAATAAGGTGAGCCCAAGCGGCAGAACAAGCAATAACACTCTACTGCTAATCTACTCCAAAATACTGATACCACCAATCTCTCCGTTAACCTATAACCTTATCTGTCAAACTTGGTCTCAAAATTACAAAGCTCACAACGAAAAACAGAGCAGGCTAGGAATCGTCAGCCATTTGCACACACACACACACACACACACACACACACACACACACACACGCACGCACGCACACACACGCACACAGAGACACACACACACACACAAAGGATAACCACCACTCACCAGTCTAATGGACACATTAAAATTGTCCAGCTAGCCATTTCTCTTTTACCTTCTACAATAGGAAACTACCCACGCGATGTCCTTCAAGGAGTTTCAACAATCTCTTTTCCCAAAAGTCGATACTCCTCACCACTACTTTCTCCAGTCCATCCAATCGACATCAGCATACGACACGATACACTCCAACAGAATCCCGACAATCTGCAAACGGTGACCACCTTCCTTGTTGCTTTCTTGAGCATAGCTGAATGTCGACGTAAATCTGCACAATTAACAAACAGAATCAAGATAAGCAGAGTCATGTGGGAAATCCGTCCTCTACTGACACAATCAGTCAAATAACTCTCCATGTTCTTCTTACAAGCAGTCGACCAACTCTCCATGTTCTTTGATGATGATTCCGATTTGCGCATTCTGAATGGGGTGCCATCACAACCTACCAGCCACAACCACCAGGAACCAAACCCACTGCAAGGATTAGATTAGAAGGTTCTTCCTTTTTTTCCGGCTACACTAGCGAGATGCCATTTCGTTGTACCATAAGAGAATATTTGCAGTATACACTCCAATTCAGTGAAGAAGCGAGAAAAAGATGAAAGGACCATGTCTGCACTGGCCACAGTAGGTCTCCCTCTGCCCCTGCCACCTCACAGACATCAACCTAACCCTTTCATCTAAAAGGTATTTGAGGAACGCCTTTCCAGAATATGCCATTTTAAATTTTCAATCCTCTCTACGTTGTAACGACACCCCCAAAGAGCAGCCATTTCCTGATTGATCTAAACTTATGTTTTTTTTGGTCAAACGTCGTCTCCACGAGGCGCCTTTCAAATTATCAACCGAAGGGACAGAGTGCCAGAGAAGGCATGGACGGCCGAACCCATTTCCTTTTTTCCCGTCTTTTAAAGGGCAACAACCGCGAGATACGACATTTATACCATATATTTGTGCTCATCAGAGGGCATGCTCACACTAAGACTTTTTTACTTATTTCAGGGCAGAATTGTGGCCAGACACATTTAAGATAGTGCCGCCGTAAATGCAGTCAGGTGCATGTAAGACAGTGCTAGTGTGAGTTCGACCTGATTCCGTCTGAACCTGAACTGAGGTCTGCACGTCAACTGTTCATCGGTGTACCAACTGATAAGCAAGCACCGAACATGCTTTTCAAACACATCTGTATTCACCAAATACCAGATCGAACCAAAGCCGATCTTTGAAAACCTTTCTTCCCAACAAAGCCGATCTTTGAAAACCTTTCTTCCCAACAAGGTCGATCTTTGAAAACCTTTCTTCCCGACAAACATGGCTCACTCCTCCTGAGGATTTCTCAGACCGGCTATCATAAATGAAACTGACGATATTAACCCCCCACTTTATTTAGGTAGTGATAGTTCTTTTTTTCGGTGACAGCAGCCTACCGCTGCTTGTTCCACACATACCCACTGTGCTGTATGTCTTGGACCTATACTGCGCAAGTACGTCTAGTCAGGTCTGCAGTCTGCACTTTGTCAGACACAGGACCTCTTCCGTGCACGCACAGATTCGAACCGCCGCCCTCTGTAACAAGCTGTCTCTGCAGTTTGTAATTGCTGCACAGCCAGCTCCCTATGTGCAATTCTGCACTCGTCACCGCCCAAACACCTTCTTCCATCACTCTTGCAGGCTTGTGGTTTTAGAATCCGGCAAAGCCCTTCGGGATGGTGCACTAAGGCGCACATGTGAAAGCGCACTGGCCTAAGATGCTGGAACTAATGACAGCGAAGATAATGTGGAAATAAACAGTGGCATGGAAGAAAAAGAGAGGCAGGCTTTGACCAGACAAAACAAGAACAGGACGATCTATTCACATCGAGTTGTACGCTTGAAAAATGCCGTGCACATCTGACACCTAAGGACCCTGCAGTGAACATCTACCACCTGGCGCCGACAGTCCATCCACCGGCACTTAAGAATTTTGTGATCAACGAGGTACATATTGTCACACTGTGAATCGGAGCGCAAAGGCAGAAAAAGACAAAACAAGTAAAGGAAAAGAAGGAAGGAAGGAAAGCCCCACCTGTTCATCACCTCTTACGTACAAGGCCAGCCACGTGGATGACAGGTTGAGCGCTGGCCGCCCCCATCCATCCCCCCATCCATCCCCCGTGTGTCACGAGGACCCACTTGCACGCAGCCAAAAGGCAAAAAAGAGGTAAAGAAAAGGAGGAGGAGGAAACCAAAGCTGACAGGGAAAGAAAGCCTATCAGTCAAACAAAGCAAATAACACATCCCACAGATAACCCAATTGCCACAAAGCAAATAACACATCCCACAGATCACCATATTTATTCTTTTTTCTTGTTTTCTTTTTGTCTTTGTTGCTTTCTTCGACATTCAGGCTATATTCATCGTTTCATTTCGGAAAAAAATGTTCCGAACACAAACAACGTGGTCATTGTTGTAATGACAACAATGAAGTTTCATTGCATGTCCAGACTTTTTTTTCAGCATCACTGCAGATTTTCTCCCAAAGTAGACCAGATGCTGGGCCTCGCTCCAGTACTCAACCTTCAACATGAATCTGGAATGCATGCAAACCAGATACAACATCGGGCTGACAAGAGCAAATGAATGTCCATTATCTGGTACACATATGTTTCACATGTTGTGCAGTGCAGCGAGGCGCAATAGTACTACCTTTTTCCGGGGACAAACCTCTACCCTCTTCCAGGTTAACCATTACCTACCTATTACCTCCTTCCCACAACTCCCCGGAGTTTCGTTTGCCTAGAGCTCCAGGCCAGTTGTTCCGCAAGTTTTTTTTTTTTTTTTTTTTTTTGTTCCGCAAGTTATGTTGGAGAGGGGCAAAAAAAAAAAAAGAAATCAACTAGTTCAGGGGAAAAAACGAAGAAAAAAAAGATTAAAAAACGTTATGCAGCATTGCAATCCAAACAATTTTGCCCAGGTGACCGACCATCTCCGAAATTCAAAAAGCCGAATTCGAGAAAAAAGGAGTGAAAACCGAAACCCGCAGTTATATTTCTTTTCTTTTTTTTTTTCTTTTTTTTAATAAAACAGGTCCTTATGGTCCTGGCTCCATATCCATTCTGGGGAGCGTCACAGTTATATTTCAATATTTTGGAATTCGGATTTTAGGGACCCTTAGAAGCCAAATTCGAATACAACACCCCCCCCCCGAGTTATGTTCGGAAAAAGAAGGCAGGCAATTGCCAAAGACAAGGAAGGACAAGGCACTACTGCACCACACAGTACACTTATTAAGATCCCATTCAGGCAAACAGGACTGCAGGTGGAAGAGAGAGAAAAAGGACTGGCATGAGGAACGGAGAGCAGGGCGAGAGGAGAACCGCAGAAAAGAGGAGAAGAAAAGCGGGTGATATCAGCAAGAATTAACGGGAGAAGAAAGGAACAGAGAGAGCTGGGGAAAGGAGAGTGAAGGAAAGAGGGTGAAGAGTAGCGTGGAGCAAGAGAGAGAGCACAGAAGCGAAGAAGAACAGAGGGCCGCAGATGAATAATAGATGGGGGAAGCCGAGGACGACGTGAGAGAGAGGAGGAAGACGGGGGAAAGAGGGAGTGGATGAAATGCGGGAGAAGGGAGGAGGATAAGGGAACAGAGAGGAACGAGAAGAAGGCAAGTGAAGGAGCAGGAGAGAAAGCAGAGAGGGGAGCAGGTAAGACACAGGGAGAGGGCGGAGAGGTTTTAAGGGGCAGAGTACAGAACGAAGAGGAACAGAACGCAGGCAGTAGGAACGTCAAGACGAGAGACGGCTAAACCTGGGAAGGGGAAATTACAAAGAGAGGGCACAACGAACAAAGAAGTAAAAAAGTGTATGCAGTAAGGAAGACAATGGTGGAGTAAACAGAGGAGAGAGAGAAAACGGAGAGAAAGAGAGAGAGAGAGAGAGAGAGAGAGAGAGAGAGAGAGAGAGAGAAAACGAAATGGAGAGAGAGACACATACTTAAATATGCACGTCAGTGTAAAACAGAGAGAAAGAGCAAGAGAAAGGAGAGAGAAGGAGAGAAAGAGAGAGAGAGAGAGAGAGAGAGAAGACAGCTCTTCCTTCAATGGATATCAGTGATTGCTTTCATTCCTTTCAAATCTTGCATCTTGAAAACAATGCAAACTCCCCAAAGGGAGCCTCGTGGGTGTTGTCAGCGAGTGCGCTCCACAGCTCTTGTGACCACCATAATCTACAGAAAACAGGAAGAAAACGAACAGCAAAAGAAAAGCAAACAAGAGGCACAAGAAAGAACACCCACAGAGATGCCGAAATACTCACATCACTATTTACCACATGCCCCTTTCTGAGTAAACTCCCCCCCCATCCTCCTCTTCTTCTGCTCTGTCTTCTCCCTTCATCATTTTCTTCAACCCCCCAAAACAAGACAATTCACAATTGATCAGAAACAATCACTCTCTCTCTCTCTCTCTCTCTCTCTCTCTCTCTCTCTCTGTGTGTGTGTGTGTGTGTGTGTGTGTGTGTGT